GAAGACGTTGTTGTATACCATAGTGTTAGAACTGACTGACAGTTGACCCTCCAATGGGTTTTTAGAGGCAGTTAATCACACAGGAAGAGACTGTTCATCCTTCTCCCACTTTAAGAAGCCAGAGGTTCAAATACAATGTCACCTAGAGGGGAAGACTTTCTGTCTGTGTGAGTCCTGGACGAAGGTCCTTGGTCTTTGGAGATCTCTGTGTGGCTTGACATCTGTCTTACCCCCTTTCTACTTTGCTGGCTTGTTTAATAACTTCTCTATCACCAAAGAGCTTGATACAGCTTATACTAATCTTCATTGTTGTGTTGTTGATTGCCATCGAGTTGAGCACAACTCATAGGGACTCTATGAACAAAAGACCTAATGCCTTTCCATAGAGTTTCCATAGGCATGTGGTTCAGGAAGTAGATGCCACTTCTGCTTCCAAACCTGTTTTACAACTGGGAGCTCCACCAAACACTGCCCACATTGGGAAACCATTATGACATATGACACCTCAATGGCACAAGGTTCAGCGTCACAGCAAATCCAGATCACCTCAGTACAGCAAACTGACAGAAGAGTGACGTACAAAATAGAAGAATGTTCCTCCAAAATATAACACTAGTCTCAAGTTACCAAAAACAATCCATTGGGATGGTAACTTCAGGAATAAGAGGTTAAGGTTTTCAACACATTATTTCAGGGAACATAATTCAATTCATTGGTAAGTATATAGCATTGTGAAAATCTGCTGTCAGGGACCTCTCCAAAGTCCTGAAGAGCAATGATGTCAGTCTGAAGACTAAGGTGTGCTTGATACAAGCCATGGACATTCAGATCACCCTGACATACATCTGAGAGCTGGAAAATGACTAAGGATTACAGGAGAACAATCAAGGCATTTGGGTTGTAGTGTTGAGCAGAGCACATGGACTGCTAAAAGAACAGAAGTGTTAGAGAAAGTGCATCCTTGGAAGCAAGGATGGGCGCAACTTCATCTCACATACTTTGAGCATGTTGTTAGGAGGGGCTAGTCCTTGAAAAGGGACTTCATGCTTGGAAAGGTCAGCAAAAAAGAGGAAGACCTTCAACAAGATAGACTGACACAGTGACTGCAGCAACGGGCTCAAGTGTGTCAGAGATGATGAGGACGGTGCAGGATAAGATCCTGTTCCTAAGGTCCCTAAGTTCTTTTTCATAAGGTTGCTATGAGTCGTATTTGGCTGGAGCCAATGGCAACTCAATCTTTAACTGAGTTCAACTTGGATCCAGAACTGCCTCCAAGCTTTGTTCTGACACCCACTATAGAAGTTTCTGGAGTCATGGGAGTCCCGGGCAGGTCTGCCTACAGGATGAGAGGCCCAGTCAAGCTTAGCAGATCTTCTGGGTCCCTGGAAAAAGCCTCCTGCCGAGGCTGGGTGTCCTAGAGCCTTCTAACCTACATGGCTCCAGATCCCCTCACACCAGAATAAAAATAGCCACTCACTTCAGAGCAGCTGACAGCGGTGCCTGCTCGGCAGCCTGGAAGGAGGGAGGAGGGACGCCTGAGCCGGGCTCCAGCTGTGTGACCTTGGCAAAGTCATCCTTCCTCCCTAGCAGAATGGAGGAGTGTGGACGATGTCAGCCCTCGAAGGCCCGACTGAGGGGGTCAGCAACGCCACACAAAGCACTTGATGCCATTAACACACCCTGGACGGGCGTCTTGAGAGATTCCACGCCCTGAGCACATACTCTTCAGGAAGACATCTTCGCTGATGGGCATCTTCCCACCATATCCCGGGGATATTGCCCACATAGGGATTACATGGAGTGACCTCCTCAGAGGGGGCCTGAGTCAGGTTGGTTCTAGGGGAGAAGCCATGGGAAGAAAATGCTATCCTCAGGCCCACTCTGGGAGGTGGGGCAGGAAGAGAAGGAGGAAGGAGCCATGCCCTGCTCCCTTTGCTATTCATAATGTGTTCACTGGAGCCAAGCAGGCAGGCGAGTGTCCCAGTTGTACATCCTATCCCGGCCAGAACCTTCCACGGGCCCTGCCTTTACACCCTCTGCTCCCTCAGCTTCTTGGGGAATCTCTCCTCTCCTCCGTTGGGCATCACTGACTTGCCTTCAAAAAAGGAGTTCCATGGTCCCTTTCTTGATGTGTGTGTTTGGAGGGGAACGACCCTGTCTGTCCCTTCTTGGCAAGCCCTTGTTCTGCTCCATACCAGCTGTGTAGTTGCTGAGCCTCAGTTTCTGCCTCTGTCAAATGGGGATCATATCACCAATTCTACAGGGTTTTTAACAGAGAGTGACTAAAACAACCTACATCAAACCACCAGCTTCCTGCTGCCTATCCTGACCTCAGACAGCCTAATGGGGGCTCCTGTGCACCCTCTGCCTCAGTGCACAACCCTCCCCCTCTCCAGAGTGAGGGAGGAGAAGGAACAGGAGGGGCTGGGGAGACAGCCGTCTCCAGGGGGGCGGCTCTCCCTGGCAGCTGCCCCCAGCCTGCCGCCCTGAGCCCTGAAACCTGTTATCAACCTCCTTAGTCATCGCCCAGGAGCTCAAATATAGCTCTCACCCGCTCATTTATCAGCAGGGGTCCACCCCCCATCCCACCCCCTTCTCCTGCCGAGGCCAAGTCTGGGTCTCAGAGCCCCTTGTCTTGCCTCCCAGGCCTGCCACCAACTCCAGGCCTCAGTTGCAGCAGCCAGCAAATGGGCAGGTTGGGGTAGACAAAGATGATGACAATGTTATTGAATAAGATGAGGAACTACAGAGCAGCTACCAGGACTGGGAGCTTGCCTGTGGCCGGCTCTTCTCAGCATCCCAGCGGTGTGATCTTATTTCGTCTTTACAGCAAGAGCCTAAGGGACTGTCTCCTGGTTTTCTGTCCCTTGACAGCTGAGTGATTTGTCCAAGGTCAGATGCTAAACAAGTGAGTGGCAGGGCCAGAAACAAAGTCCCTTTGCAAAGTCTGAGCTCGGAGTGAGGAGTGGTGAGCAATCCTGGGTTATGTTAGATGCCCAATCTCCTACTCCTCTAACCTATGGACATGTCATTGGTAGCCCTTTGCAGACTCATTTGCATGGCATTTGCATGGTATTTGCCTGAGTCCCAAAGAAAGTGGAGCCCTTGACTGGCCCCCAGTTAATCATTACGGCTGCTCCTCCAGCTCTCTAGTTCTGCATGAGTGTTGGATACCCCATAACCTCATCTGTAAAATAAGAGCCAAGGAGTTGGGAAGGGTAAATATTCAGTGGTTCCTTCTCATCCCACCTCTTTTTCCATGATACAACGACCCTACCATCTCTTCTACCTCCCTCTTCTCCTCCATTTTTACTACCACCATCATGCTCTTTCTTCATTATACCATCTCCATAGTCACCCTGATCTGCACCCTAATTTGTTACCACCTCTCTCACTGCCATCACCTCCCCTGCCACCATGATCCACACTATAATTATCACCTCCACCATCTCCATTTATCTGACTCGTCACTCTCACCTGCCTTTATGATTCTCAATCCACTGCTTCCGTCATTACACTACCTCATCTCCATCACTACAGTTACCTCCCCCATCAGCACTGTCATCGCTTCCTCCAACAATTCCCCAAACGTTCTATCCCAAGACACTAATATAGCTCATGTCTCTGATCTTGCAAATTCCAGCCTCGCCGAGAGGCTGGCCCAAACACCAGACTAGGTCTAGAGACAGTCTAGCAGATAGATGCCTCTATCTGCCAGATAAATGGATAGAGATGTGTCCTTGAAGGTCTGAATCGGTGCTCACCTCTAAGCCATCTGCCTCTGCCTCATCCTCAAGTGTGTCTATGCCCCTCCTGAGCCCATGAAGGTGTCCTTCATGTGGGGAACAATACAGAACCCCACCTGCAGATGCAAAAGCAGCTGTAGGTAGAGACCTCTGTCTAAAACAGAGAGGTATCATTTCTCTCCAAATAATCCAGCAAATCTAGAGAGACTGCTTAGTAGATAGAATGGAAGAAGGGAGGGGGCTGAAGCCAGGGACCCACAAGCCTCTCTGGCCAAATCTGACCCTTGAGTCATTCATTCACTCACTCAACAAACTTCACTCCACCTTCTGGGGACCAGGTTAGCTACAGGGTCTTGGCCAAAAGTCCCCCTTCGATTTGTTTTTGACACCCTGAGATTTCCTTTCCCCTAGATCCTCCCAACTGGAGTTATGAGTCCCAGAGGGAATTCCCTTTCCTCACTGAAGGTCTGGAGACCTTCTAAACCTGCTGGGTGACCTTGAGCAAGTCCACCTCTCAGGGTCTGTGTGTCCCCCTCCCAAAGCGGGGGATGAGTGCTGGTGAGAGGAAAGTTAAAGAGGAGCAGGAGGGCTGGGACCGGCCTGCCTGTCGGGGGATCCAAGGGTGATGAGAAGTCTGCAGAAGACAAGATGCTAGTGCTAAGGCTGAGATGGGAACTGACTCTGGTGACTCCAGCCTGAGTGTCTGGCTCTGGGATGAGAGGGACAGAGCTGGGCTGGGGGGTAGGGGTGGGATAAAGGCACCTGGGCCTGAAAATGGGACAAAGGTGGGGGCCAGGGCAAACCCTCAGCTGGCAGGAAGTCAAGAAGGTCAAAGGATTGGGGCAGGGACTCAGGTGTCCTTGAGCCTCTGAATTGGGTGCTGACCTCTAAGCCACCTGTCTCTACCTCACCCACAGGTGTGTCCATTCCCCTCCCAAAGCAAAGGCTGGGCTGTAGGCAGAGGGTGGGTGGATGGGAGCAGATACATGGTCTCTTCCAGACTGCCAGGTGGGACTGGGGCCAGGTCGATGTGCACAGTTACTTCACTCTTGTGGCCGTTCTGGCCTTAGCAACCTGCTTGAAGTGTTCCCAGGGGGACAGCCACCTACCTCTGGCCACCTTCAGGTTGGAAAGTGGGCGCCTGTGCCTTTAAATTCTCAGCAGGTTGAAGCAGCTGATGACATCACTGGTTCCCGGGAGCAGAGGAGCTGGAGCCCGGTGCTGAGGGAGCCCGGGCTGCTGGGGGCTGCAGACATGGAGGGCCAAGGTGGCAGTGGCAGCGGGAGGCCAGGAACCCGGGCTGGCCTGGGCCCTCTGCCCGTACCCCATGGAGTTTCCCAAACCGGGACACCCTCCAAGGTAAGACCCCTAAGAGCCAGGTTCCCTCATCCCCTTGGGCCCTTGTCCCCCACACACTGCAGGTCCTCAGGTGCCCCTGGCTGAAGAGTTGGCACTCTCTTCTGCCCACAGAGCAGGGACTTGGCAAAGAGGGCAAACGGGGGGTTGGGATAGTAGCGACAGGACACCAAGCGAGAGAGATGAAGTCCCCACCTCCAGGAGCACCAAGAGAGCCAAGCACCAGGCAGCAAGGGACCCAGCTGTGTTGTAGGTTTGCTGTGTGACCTTGGGCAAGTTGCTCATCTTCTCTGAGCCCATGCAAAATGAAGATGCCTGTCCCTTGAAGACTGAAACTGTGACATCTGGGGTATCTAAGTTGTTAGTGCTGGAGGCGGTGTGGTGGTGGTGGGGAGGGGCTTGCGCAGTGGGACACTTGGAACCCAGGAAGATGCTGCCTCAAAGCGCTGAGTTTGAGGAGGGAGGCAGAGGCAGTTTCAGGTTCTCTGAACCGAAAAGGACACGGGATGGGACACAGACAGAACTGCGTCTCTGGAGGCAAGGACTGGACCACGCCACCTTCCTCTGCCCTCCCTGGCAAAGGATCTTCATCCTGTCTCCAGGGTGAAGGGGCATCAGAAACGGGAGGTGAATGGGGAGGGAAGAGAGGTCCTCAAAGGAACCTGCCCTACCCCTACCTGCCTGCCTGTCCTCACAGGTGGGGGAGGGGGGAGGGGGAAAGGGCGCAAATTGGGGTACACAGAGGCACATGCCAGAGGAAACTTGTAATCTTGGGATTGCTTATACTTCGTGAGGAGGAACCATGGGATTCTGTGGACTCTGAGTGACTGTTGGGACAAATAACTGTAGAGATTATGAGACCAAGACTCCCTAGAATATGAGGTGGCTAGGGTGGCGTCCCTTCACTCAGCCCCTTTGTGTTCTGAGGCTCTGGGCACAACAGGAGCTGCGCTTGGAATCTGCATGAAGCTCTGAGAGTAGATGAGGAGGGCAGGGGGAACTGGGGGTGAGAAGTGTGGAATGTTTGAGGGGACCCAAGGGTTTCTGGGCACCGCAGAGGAGGATTTAACAGACTGGACATAGTGTGGCAAGCAGATATGGGGTGCCAGGCCAGTTGCCCTTGGCTGGGGAGCATCAGGGCCTGCAGAAGACAGTTGCCCAGGGGAGCTGGTTTCTGCCACCCAGCATGCCGGGGGGGGTTCTCAGGTTCAGGCTCACTCTCTGCCTTGTGTCTCCCCAAATGTAAAAGGGGTATCAGAGGCAAGGGAGGGGACAGGGATCTGGGACTTGGGAGAAACTAACCTGCAGCTGGATGGATGGATGTGTGATATTAAAAAGAGTTGTGTCTACATTAGCTAGATGGAGTCTGTCGCTAGAGGAGTCCTGGCCAGTCCCTGGTCAGAGTCAATCTAAATCTTTGACTTGTCCCCTGCAAGGTGGACTCACGTTGTCAGCTTCCAGTCAAGACGAATGCAGCCCCCATACTGTCAGGACCAAGGCTGGCTCAGACATCTATAAGGACACAAGCAGTAAAGCCATCTTCCTCTGAGGGACCAAGGCTGACTCTGGTGTCTCCCCGACCCATCCTGGCTCCACTGTCAACTCCTGGGGCACAGAAAACATCTCCTGCCCATCGGAGCTCCAGCTTGGCTCCAACATCTGTGGGTCAGCTGGTGATGTCCACCTCAGCTGGGCCAAAGCCTTGCGCAGAGACCTCGGGCTCAGCCTTGGCCCCGACCCCCCTGGGCCAGCTGGTGATGTCCGCCTCGGCCGGGCCCCGCTCACCTCCAGCCATCCTGGGGTCCAGTCTGGCTGCAACTTCAGGGGATCAGAAGCAGATGCTACCTGCCCCCATGGAACCCAAGCCAGCACTGGCACCCTCACACCTGAGCCTGGCCTTGGCTTCTGAGGAGCAGCTGTCTCCACCCAGCTCTAGCCCCTCCCCAGCACCTAGTCCAATTCTATCACCCTCTCAGGAACAGGCCTCAGTGCCAACATCCATGACATTAGTCCCTGCCTCCACAGGATGCACACCTGCTAGGGAAAGGGATGCCCCAGCCCCTAGATCTCTGCCCACTTCTGAAGGGCATCTTCCAGCAACTCAGGCATCTGTTCCTAGGTGCTCCCCATCCTCAACTCAAGCTCCCCCAGACCCCCGGCTCTCCCCCTCCTTCCGAGCCCGGCCAGAAGCCCCCCGCAACAGCCCCGAGGATCCTATCTTGCCGAGGCCACCCCAGACCCTGCCCCTGGATGTAGGTCACTGTCCGCCAGATCCTGGCACCCGCTCTCCTGGACTGCTGTCCCCTACTTTCCGACCAGGAGGCACCTCAGCTCAGACTGTACCCCCAGCTCTGCCCAAACCACCACGGTCTCCCAGTCGCTCCCCTAGTCGCACTCCTTGTGCCCCCCTCACTCCTGAGATGGCCATCCCCAGGCCTGGCACCCAGGGTGCAGGGCAAGGGGGTCGCCTGAGCCCCTGCCTTCAGCCTCAAGAAGCCCCGGCCCGGGTCACCACCTCCCCTACCACGTCCACCTCATCGTCATCCTCTTGGTCAGCCCAGCCTACCTGCAAGAGCGACCCCGGCTTCCGGTGAGAGGGCCCCTCTCCTAAGAAGGCCTGTTGAGGGCTTGAGCTCTGAGATTATTCATCCTTCAGGGTGGCTCACTCTACTCTGTCTCAGTTTACCTCCTTAAGAAGAGTCCTTGGAGATGCTAGGACCCCCTGGGGTCCTTCTGACTAAGTCCCCAAGCTACCCCAAAAGGTGGGCTTTAACCCCTCTAAGGCCTTAAGCCAACCTCAGTTTATTTTCCTCCAAGAGACCCAGGTCGAGGGAAGGGGAAGGATGAGTGGAGTGGTGTCCAGTAGTAACCCCTCTTGTGCCCTCGCCCTCAGGATCACTGTGGTCACGTGGAACGTGGGCACTGCCATGCCCCCTGATGATGTCACGTCCCTCCTCCACCTGGGTGGTGGTGATGACAGCGACGGTGCTGACATGATCGCCATCGGGTGAGGGTGCAGGGGATGTGGACCCCTTCCTGGACCTCTCAGTGCACTCAGATCCCTGCCCTAAGGGAGGGGTGTCTAGAGTGTCCCCCAGCCCAAAGCTCTCCCTCTCCCCCTTGGCCCCTAGGTTACAGGAAGTGAACTCCATGATCAACAAGAGGCTGAAGGACGCGCTTTTCACGGACCAGTGGAGCGAGCTTTTTATGGACGCGCTGGGGCCCTTCAACTTTGTACTGGTAAAGTCCTGTTAGGACTGGATTTCTAGCTCCAGCTCTGCTTTGACTCCCTGTGGGGCCAGTGAGTCTCTGGCGCCAAGTCAGTGAAACGAGAGAGTTTAGAGGAGCCGGCCTTCCGATGGCTTCAGCAGCAGGGGAGGGGAGAGCGGGGCATTGCGTCCCACCCCCAGCCTGTCCCTCCCGCTGCAGGTGAGCACTGTGAGGATGCAGGGCGTCATCCTGCTGCTGTTCTCCAAGTACTACCACCTGCCCTTCCTGCGGGACGTGCAGACTGACTGCACGCGCACCGGGCTGGGCGGCTACTGGGTGAGCACAGGTGGGCGGGGAGAACGCCGGGGCCTGAGGGAACCAGAGAGTATACCTCACTCCCCACATCCCAGAGGGTCTCCGCCCCAGGCCTTCCCCTCTCCAGGGCCCACCCAATCTTTTAGGTCTCCCATCTCTCAGTTTCTTCCCAGTGTCCCACCTCCTTACCTCCAAGCAGCCCACCAACTGGGAGACACCCCCAACCCTCCACGCTCTGCACAGTGTCCCACCTCACGGCCCACACCTGCCTCCTAGGGCAACAAGGGCGGAGTGAGCGTGCGCCTAGCAGTCTTTGGGCACATGCTCTGCTTCCTCAACTGCCACCTGCCAGCACATATGGACAAGGCGGAGCAGCGCAAGGACAACTTTCAGACTATCCTTAACCTCCAGCAGTTCCAGGGGCCCGGCGCTCACGGAATTCTGGACCATGAGTACGGACTGGGGCGGAGCTGAGCATGGATTGGGGCGGGGTCTTGTGAGTGCTGGGGCGGAGCCTAGTGTGGACTTGGGCGGGGGTAAACCTGGATTTGGGCGGGGCCTTGTGCATGCTGGGGCGGAGCCTTCTGTGGACTGGGCAGGGCCTAGTGTGTTGGGGCGGAGCCTTGTGTAGTTTGGGCGGGGCCTAGTGTGAGCTGGGGCGGAGCCTTGTGTAGATTGGGCGGGACCTAGTGTGGGCTGGGGAGGGGTCTGGTGTTTACTAGGAGGGAGCCGAGTGAGCCGGAGCGGTTCTAGTGAGGAAAGGATGGGAGCTCTCAGCTAAACTTGGGAGTGGAGAGACCCTTTGGAGTGGGTGGTCTCTCTCAAACTATATCTAGGAATAAGAATGTAAGCTTGATGGGGAGTGGAAAGAGAGTGGCGCAGCCTTGCTGAGAGGTGGGGCCTAACTCCATCTAGAATTTCCCACTGTGCTATTCGGTGGAAGGAAGGTTTAGGGGATTCTGGCTCCACTCACTGACCCAGTGCAAGGGGGCAGAAGGGCATCTGGACTGAACCTTTCTGACTCCCACCGCCCAACAGCCTTGTCTTCTGGTTCGGGGACCTGAATTTCCGCATTGAGAGTTACGATCTGCACTTTGTCAAGTTGGCTATTGACAGCAACCGACTTCACCAGCTCTGGGGAAAGGACCAGGTGTGGGATCCAGCTGCACCCCAAATCCCTAAGCACACGCAGCACACCCCAGGACACACCTGTACCCTTGACTACAATAGTCCTTGCCTTCATCTACCCCAGGGTTGAGCTGGGAAGGGGCCTGTCAGGGTTATTGCCCACTTTTCTCCTTGACCCTCACAGCTCAACATGGCCAAGAACACCTGGCCCATCCTGAAAGGCTTCCAGGAGGGACCCCTTAACTTTGCTCCCACCTTCAAGTTTGATGTGGGTACCAACAAATATGATACAAGGTAAGCTCAAGAGTGGGGTAGAGTGGGGACATGGGCTGAGGTTCTTTGGAGAAAGGAGACTTGGGAAGAGGGACAGGAGGCAAGCCTGGGGCTGTGCCTTGACCCCCAGGCCTGAAACTCAGGCTGCCCCTGCCACTGTAGTGCCAAGAAGCGAAAACCAGCCTGGACAGACCGCATCCTGTGGAAGGTCAAGGCTCCAGGTGGAGGTCCCAGCCCCTCAGGACGGGAAAGCCATCGGCTGCAGGTGACCCAGCACAGCTACCGAAGCCACATGGAGTACACGGTCAGCGACCACAAGCCTGTGGCTGCCCAGTTTGTACTGCAGGTGAGTTCACAGCTCCACTTTCCCCACTTCTTGCCATCCTCGGGCTAATTCTACATCCCATTGTCCACCAGTAACCCCTTACATCTGCCCTCAGAAATATCCACTTACCATAGCAAAACAGGAGGGTGTTATGTGCTATGCTTTCAGATGAGGACACTGAGTCTCAGAGAGACAGCAGCATTTGCTCAGGGTCTCATGCCTAGTAAGAAAAAGAGCTAGGACGTTGATCCAGGCCAGTCTGATTTCAGAGCCCACAGTCCTGGGGACAAAACTAGTTAAGTGTTTGGCTGCCAGCTACAAGGTTGGTGGTTCCTACCTTAGTCACTTTATAGGAAAACACTTAGCAACATGCTTCAGTAAATTTTATAGCCAAGAAATCCCTATTAGCTCTGTCATGTGGAGTTCATATGAGGCAAGATTTGACAGCACCTACGTATAACAACTGTTTCCACTTTAGAGTACCTAATGTTAAAATTCTTATTTGTAATAAAACCAGTGAAATCAAAATGAATACTCCAATTCCATGTAGCAATCATTCAATCACTGTTTGCTGAGTACTTATATGATAGGGAGCTCAGCAAGGACTTAAAGTCAATGGTTTGAATCCACCAACTGCTCGAGGGAAAAAGATGGACTTTTTCCTGCCTTCAAGTTTGTAGCCTTGCAAACTTTAAGGATTGCTGGGAATTGGAATCAACTCAAGGGCCAGTAGGCTTTGGGTTGTTTTTGTTTTGTTTTGTTTTGTTTTGTTTTGTTTATCGTATGCCAGCTTCTATAAAAGTGATGAAAGGTGAAAGGGCCCTGTGGTGCAATGGTTAAGCACTCCACTGCTAATTGAATGATTGAAGGTTCAAATCCACCAGCTGATCCACAGTATATATATATGACAGTCTGTCTCTATAGAGATTTACAACTTTGAAACCCAGTGTTGTTAGGGGCTCTTGAATCAACTACAGAACATAATAACCCTGGTAACAGATTGAAACCTTGCCCTCTCCTGCACCATCCTCGTGATCTCAGCCTTACTCAAGCCCATCATTGCAGTCAATGTGCCGGTCTTTTCTTTTTCTGGTCCTCCACGTTTCTAAGGATAATGTCTTTTTCCTCCTGCCAACATGCCTAAAGTATGTCAAATGAAGCTTCATCATCCTAGTCTCTAAGGAGCACCCTGGTTTCACTTCTTCCAAGATCAATTTGTTTGCTCTCTTAGTAGTTTATGATATTCATTACTCTTCATCAACACCACAACTGAAAGGCATCAATTCTTTGGTCTTCCTTATTCATTGTCCAACTTTCACATGCATACAAAGCAATTGGAATACCAAGGCTTGGGTCAAGAGCACCTTAGTTTTTCTTTTGAAAGAGGTCCTTGGCAGCAGATTGACCCATTATAAAACATCTTTTGTTTTCTTGGCTATTGTTACTGTGGATGTTGATGGAGCATTTCTACTCTGACCTGTACGGTTACTCTGAATTGGAATAACTCTATGAATTTGATGTTGTTATTGTTTTGTGTTGTTGGTTTGGTTGGTTTTTTGTTTTGAGGTGAGTTTTTAGTTGTTTGGTTTTTTTGTTTTTTTTTAAGAATGCCAGAGAGGCAGAGTATATATACTAATGAAATTTTTAAAATAGAACTCTTTAGATTTCTAACTACTTACCAGGAGCTGTGATAGCATAGTCCTTAGAGAGTTGTGCTTCTAACTCAAAGACCAAGCATCTCTAGTGGTTCGAATCCACCAGCAGCTCCACAGGAGAAAGAGCTCCTTTTGTGTGATTTACAGCCTCAGAAACCCAAGGATTCTGAGGCTACAAATTGTTTGCGCCTTGATGGCAATGAGATGACAGAAATGGTTATTACAATTTAGCCTTGTATTTTAGGTTGAGGTCCCTTGTGGACAGGTTGTTATGTGCTATCGAGTTGCTCGTGACTCATGGCGATCCTATATACAATAGCTCTGAACCCAGCTCTATCTTGATTCAACTTTATTGTCTCCAACAGACCTACCCCCATGACCCCAGTTACAGTTAATCCATCTCACCCAGGGTCTTCCTCTCTTATGCTGGTGCTCCACCCTCCCAAGCATGATGTCCTCCTCCAAGGACTGGTCTCTCCTTGCAACATGCCCAAAGTATGTCAGATGGAGCTTCAAAATCCTTGCCTCCAAGAGGCAGCCTGGTTTCACCCTCTCCGGGATGGGTCTGTTCTCTTAGCAGTCCATGCTATATTCAGTATTCTTCTCCGGCACCACAGCTCAAAGGCATTGATTCTTCTATTATCCTTTATCGTCATCCAGCTTCCTGATGCATAGCAAGTAATTAATTGCAAAGACCGTGGCCTGGATCAGGCACACTTTAGTTTCTAGACTGATATGGTTGCTTTTCAGTACTCTGGAGAGGTCCCTGATACCAGATTTTTTCCAATGCAATTCATCTTTTCATTTCCTGACAGCTGGTACCAAGAGTGTTGATTGTGGACCCAAACAAGCTGAAGCTGTTAACAATATCAGTCTCTCCACTGTCTATCCTGATGTTGCCAATTGGGCCAGTGGTGAGAATCTTTGTTTTCTCCATTTTGAGCTTCATTCCATATTGAAGACTGCAGTCCTTGACTTTCTGCAGCAAATACCTCATATCCTCCTCAGCTTCGCCAAGCAAGGGTATGTCATCTGCGTAACACAAGTTGTTGATGAGTCTTCCTCAAATCCTGATAACATGTTTCTCCTCATAGAGCCCAGCCTCCTAGATTATCTATTCTGCATATAGATTGAAAAGGTATGGAGGTAGGATGCATCCCTGTGTACACCTTTCCTGATTTTGAACCGTGCAGTATTTCCTTGCTCTGTTCTGATGACAGCCTCTTGGTTCAAGTATAGGTTTTGCATAAGCAAAATCAAGTGTTCTATAAAGGTGTAAATCTTAGAATGTTAAAATCAGATATGCTTTTCAGTGAGGGCAGGCCCATACCCCAGGAGATGCACAGGCTCTGTGGCCAAATGGGGTCAATCCCTTCTTTGCAGCTCTGAAACCCAACTCTAGCCTCTCTGATTCTCTCGATCTGATAAGGGGAGACCTGCAGATCAGCAGGTGCTACCTGGTAACTGGGTCACATGGTCTGTCCGTGGGACACTGGCCAGCCAGGAAGGAATGGAAAGTTGCCACGCCTGGCTTCGCTTCCTGTGACCTTTAGTAAAAGAGCTTGGGCCTGAAGAATAACCTTCACTCTGGAGCGGTAGCTTGGGGACCACTCCTTTGTGGTATCCCACCTTGTCTTTCCCTCCTCAGCCTGGGGCCTCTTGAAATGTCGCCTGTTGAGCACCCATGTGTGTCCCAGACCCTGTGGAGGGCACTGTACACCTGCTCTTTCTTTAAGTGCTTTAGTAGCTCCTTGTAATGTACCAGTGAGTCAGAACTGCTCAGAGCTGACCCTCCACCGTGTTTTAAGAGGCTGTAAATCACACAGGTGGAGTTTGCCTTTCTTTCTCCTGCAGAGCAGCTGGTGGATTTGAACTGCTTACCTTTGGGTTGATAGCACAACTCCTTACCCACCAGGCCACCAGAACTCCCTTAGTTAAGTCCTCAGATGCCCCAATTCCTCTTCCAATTTTACTGGTGAGGGAAACAGGCTCACAGAGCTTAGCTTCTGTGTTTAAAGTAATGCAATTAGAACAGGCTTCATCGAGGGTTGAGGGTGGTTGGGAGTTGTTTGGCTCTGCAAGGCTGTGGAGGGCATTTCTGAAGACCTATCCTTTGGGCAAGCCAATAGAGTCAACTTTGGTTTGCTTGATTTCACAATCAACATTCTTGGTACCAACAGCCAGGAAATCAAAAGACGAATTGCGTTGTGAAACTCTGCTGTCAGGGAACTCTCCAGAGTAGTGAAGAGCAATGATGTAATTCTGGAGACTAAGGTGCACCTGATCCAGGCCATAGTCTTTGCAATTGCTTGCTATATATCTGAAAGCTGGACGATGACTAAGAATGATAGAAGGAGAATGGATGCCTTTGAGCTGTGGTGCTGTAGAAGAGGATTGAATGTACCATGGACTGCTAGGAGAACAAACAGGTTTGTCCTGGTGAGAGTGAAACCAGGCAGCTCCTTGGAGGCAAGGACTCTGAAGCTTTGTTTGACGTGTTTGGGGATGTTGCATGGAGTGACCAGTCCTTGGAGAGGAACATCTTGCTTGGAAGGGTGGAGACACAGCACAAGAGAGGAAGTCCTTTGATGAGATGGATTGATTCAGTGACTGGAGGAATGGGGTTAGGTTTGTCAGCGACAATAAGACTGACACAGGCTAGAGCAGGGTTCTACAGAATAGAGCAGTTGAGCACAGGGGTCGCTATGGGTCATAAGCAACTGGATGGCACATAACGACGACACCCTTTTGCATATTGTTAAGAGGGGCTAGTCCTTAGAAAAGGACTTTGAGCTTGGAAAGATGGAGAGCCAGTAAAGGAGGGGAAGAACCTCAACGAACAGTGACTGCCATGGTGTCTCAGAGATGAGGACGACGGCACAGGATAGGGAAGAGTTCAGATCCACTGTTCACAGGGTCTCTTTGAGCTGTAATTGACTTGAGGGCTATTCAACAATTAGCAAGAACAACATGCTGGAGCCAGGGAGGGACTGTGCTGGTTTTTTCTAGAGCAGTTGGCTGAGAAGCAGTTTCAGGAGGGAAACCTGAAACCAGATAAACAGGGGAGCAGACAAAGGCTCCGCTGGCACCAGCCAGTCCTTTCTGCAGGGGAAGAAGTGGAGCCTGGCTCCGGCTACATGCCACCTGGGGGCAGGTCCACCCACACCGGTGACCCCCTGATGAGCCTGGGACGATCGAAGGGGAGGATCAGAAAACCTAAACGCCACAGTGCTACCATCGATTCTGTCCTGACTTGTAGTGACCCTCTTGGCCGTCTTGTTCCTTCAGAGCAACCTGGGGATTTGATCTACCAGGGAAATGGCCATTTAGTTAGCAGTGCACTGTGCTAAGCACGATGTCACCAGAGCTCCTTTGACAAGGTATTTCTGGGGAGCTCTGGTGGCCTAGTGGCAAGAAGCTGCACTGCAGTCCCAGAGGTGCACGGTTCAAATCCACCAGATTCTCTGCCGAGGAAGGAGGGACAATCTCCTCCTGTACCAGTCAGATCTGATTTGACGGTACACGCACACAAAAATAATAAAATTTTTTTAAAAAATGAGAAGGTATTTCTGGGTATGATTTCACCTCATGGACTGATGCCCAAGTAATAGTTAATGGTCCCTTAGGACAGATGCTTGAACTTGCTATGCATCTGAGAGCTGGACGGTGAGTAAGGACAAGAGAAGGATAATTGACACCTTTGAGCTGTGGTGTTGAGAGAAGAATGCTGAATATGTCATGGACTGCCAAGAGAACAAGCAAATGTCTTGGAAAAAGTACAACCAAAATGTTCCTTGGAGGCAAAGCTGACGAAGCTTCATTTCATGTACTTTGGGAATGTTGTTGGTAGGTGCCATCAAGTTGGATATGACTCTCAGTGACCCTATGAACGATAGATTTGATCCCTGTCCTATCTTGTACCGTCCTCACAATCCCTGATACACTTGAGCCCATTTCTGCAGTCACTGTGTCAGTCCACCTGGCTGAAGGTCTTCGTCTCCTTCGCCATCCTCCCCCTCATCTTATTGTTAGCAGAGACTATCCCTTGGAGAGAGACGTCATGCTTAGAAAGGTGGAGTGTTGATGAAAGAGAAGAGCCCCCATCAGACGGATTGACACAGTAATTGCTGCAGTGGGCTCTAATACATCCGAAGTGATGAGGATAGGATAGGACAAGGTTCAGGTCTGTTCACCATGAGCCTTACTCAATTCAACAGCACCCAACAACTACAACGGTATGGATGAGGGAGCTGTGGTGGCTTAGTGAGTTTCACCGTTCGAATCTGCCGGCTACTTCTCAGGAGAGAAGCTGTCTTCTCCCATTGAGATATGCAGCTTCTGAAACCCAATGGAGGGTCACTGAGTCAAAACTCACTCACTGGCAATGACAGATTGGTGTGTTTGTTTGTTTAGTATTAATGGGGGAACAGTCTTGTGGCAGCTAAACAGAAGTCACCCACCACGTAGTGGTACAACCCAGAAATGGACTTAGAGCTCCAACTCCCGTCCTGGGCTTCTACCCCAGAAGATTCAGCACATCATGGAACTTTACCTGCCTTTTAAAAACAAATTTTGAGAGTTTAATGAGAGTATTGAATTCTTTTTATGTGTGTGTGCTATCGAATCAGATCCGGGAGGAGATTGTCCATCCTTCTCCAGCAGCGCATATGGTGGATTCGAACCACACACCTTCGGGATTGCAGTGCACCGTCTTACCACTAGGCCACCAGGGCTCCATTACCTGCTTCATTTGAGGGCATATGTTGGTGGTGGTGGTGGTGGTGGTGGTGTGTGCCATTGAGTCAGAATCAGCCCACAGCTTACTTTCCGGCAGGTTTTCAGAAGCAGAACATCACACCATGTCTTTTTCCCTCAGAGCAGCTAGTAGATTTGAACCACGTGCCTTTGGGGCAGCTTCTTACCACCAGGTGTATGTATGTATATAGGCATATCATTTAGTGAACACCTGCTGTGTTCTGGGAAGTTTATGAGATGCTTTACAGATAGTGTCTCATTGAATCTGTGTACCACTCCAGAAGTTAAACAAAAGCATCCAGTTCAAAGACCACTGTCAAGGACCTCCTTAACGTGCTAAAAAGCAAGGACTTAGCTTAAAGACTAAGGTGCTCCTGACCCAAGCTATGGCATATTTTTGTTTTCATTTGTTTCATATGCATGCAAAAATTAGATAATGAGTAAGGAAGACTGAAGAACTGATGCATTTCAATTGGTGGTGTTAGGGACGAGTATTGACTATCCCATGGAGGGCCAAAAGAACAAATAAATCTGCTTTGCAGGAAGTGTAACGAGGGTGCTCCTTAGAGGCAAGGGTGGTGAAACCTCGCTTGACATGCTTTGAGCATGTTGTGAAGAGGGCCAGTCCTTGGCCAAAGATATCATGTTGAGAAAAGTGGAGAATCAGCGAAAGAGAGGAAGACCCTCCACAAGGTGGATTGACACGGTGACAGTAACAATGAGGTTAAGCGTTGTGGGGACAGTGAGGACGCTACAGGAATTGGGCAAGGTCCAGATCTGTTGTTCATAGGGTTACTATGCGTCAGAGTCACCTCAGTGGCACCTACCAACCAATAACAAAGCTCATAGATGAGACTGTGGCATTCAGAGAGGTTGAGGAACTCCCCTGGGGCCACACAGCCTTGCCAGTGACAAGAGTGGAGACCAACTTCAAAGCTGTGTTCTTACTTCCTAAGGAGGTGGTGGGCCGGGAGCCTGGACTAGGATGCCAGAAGACTGGTGCATGTCGCAGGCTGGCTCTCTCTGTTTCCCAGTGTGTGGGTCACTAGAGGGTCGCCCTGATGTTCCTCTTTGCCCCTGCCTGGCAGTTTGCCTTCAGGGATGACGAGCCCCTGGTGCGCCTGGAGGTGGCAGATGAGTGGGTGCGGCCGGAGCAGGCTGTGGTCAGGTACCGCATGGAAACCGTGTTCGCACGAAGTTCCTGGGACTGGATCGGCTTGTACCGGGTAAGCAGGGCGGTAGAGGTTAGCCACTTAGGACTGGAGGGACACCCCCCCGCCAGGAGGGTTTACAGACGAGTACAGAGTTTGATGCCGGTAGCAGGGAACATGACCCCCAATCTTCTCACCTCAGGTGGGTTTCCGCCACTGCAAGGATTACGTGGCTTATGTGTGGGCCAAGCACGAGGACGTGGACGGGCACGTCTACCAGGTACTCAGGGGACGCAGAGAAGTGGGGTGTCTCCATGGCCTGCAGATGCTCAGAGCCTGGGGGTTGGGCTTCTGAGGCGGCCTCTCTGACTCCCAACCTGGGCCCACCAGGTGACATTCAGTGAGGAGTCGCTGCCGAAGGGCCATGGAGACTTCATCCTGGGCTATTACAGCCACAATCACAACATCCTCATTGGTGTCACTGAACCCTTCCAGGTAAGAGGCCAGACTGCAGGTTGGGGGACACAGATGGGCCCTTCAAATTCCATAGCCGCCTCCTCTTCCTGCATCTCCACGTGTATCTTCATTATCTATTGTGGTTCTCATAGAAGCACCACGAAAAGTGGCTTTAGCAAACAGAAATTTATTTTCTCACTATTTAGGACGATTGTTGTTGTCATGTGCCATTGAGTCAGAAGTGACAGATTCCTGACCCTCCAGCAGGTTTTCAAAGGCTGTAAATTGCATAAAACAAGACTGCCCAACTTCCTCCCTAGAAGCAATAAGTGGATTTGAACCACTTGTCTTTGGGTTGGCAAGGCAAAACTCTTTACCCACTAGGCCACTGTAGTTCCAAATTCAGGGTGCCAGTTCTAGCAGAACTTTCTGTTTCTCTCTTTCTTGGCTCTGGTGGGGAAAAGTCCTTGTTCCTTGAGCACCATGTGGCTTGCCTTGCCCTTCGCTCTCCGCTAGCTTGTTTAATCTTTTCTATCTCAAGTGAGACTCAATCAAAGCACACCCTACACTAACCCTGTTATTGTTGTTGTGTACCATCGAGTCAGAACCAACCCATAGCTGACCCTTCAGTGGGTTTTCAGAGGCTTTTAATCACACGGAGCAGATTGTTCAGCCACCAGAGCTCCAACCCTGTCTAATGAATATATTAAAAGACAGTCTATTTCCAAATGGGATTATAACCACAGGCATAGAGGTTAGGAATTACAACATATTATGGGGGATGGTGGACGGGATGCAATTCAAGCCATAACAGGAGTTTCCCAGAGCCTTTTGCCTCTGGGTTGGGGAGGTACCTTAATAACCATGGTTCCCTCAGATTTCACTACCCAGCTCGGAGGCAGCCAGCAGTAGCACAGACACTTCGGGGGCCAGCTCGGAGGATGAGGATGACAGCACCTTAGAACTCCTCGCCCCCAAGTCCCGCAGCCCCAGCCCTGGCAAGTCCAAGCGACATCGCAGCCGCAGCCCCGGCCTGGCTCGCTTCCCGGGCCTCGCCCTGAGGCCTTCCTCTCGAGAGCGCCGCGGTGCCAGCCGGAGCCCCTCTCCTCAGAGCCGACGGCTGTCCCGGGTGGCTCCGGACAGAAGCAGCGACAGCAGCAGCTGGGGCAGCAGTGAGGAGGGGTCCTCCAGGCTGCCCGGCCCCTGGGCCTTCCCACCAGCTGTGCCTCGAAGCCTGGGCCTGCTGCCCGCCTTGCGCCTGGAGAGTGTGGACCCTGGTGGTGGTGGTGGCTCTTGGGGACCTGATCTAGAGGCCCCAGCTCCCAACAGCCTGTCTCCCAGGCATGAGGAAGGTGGATTGGGACCCTGAGGGGCAGAGTTGGCTCACTTGCCCACACAGCCCTAAATCACCCACAAACCCACCTGCTTCCTTCCTGCTGCCGTTCCAGCTCCATCTGCACATGGGGGTGGGGGTCAGTCTTCTGGAGTCCCCCCAACACTTGACCCCACATCTGAACTGTGACAGTCAGCAAGACCCTGTCCCAGTCCCCATCTGGGATGGGGGGGACAGGACACTCTGGCAGATGTCCACAGCAGGACATCATCGTTAGGAATTAAATTCTCCAGCCTCACTTCCAGCTTCCTCCTACCTTATGAGCTGAATGGGGGTGGTTCTGGCTGAGAAAGAGACTCAAGAGCCAGTGGAATGAGAGCTGATGTTGGTGTTACACACGCCACCTTTTTAAATCTGTGCTTCATCTTTTTTGACCACAAACTTGTGGAATCAATGCGTTCTTAGACTCATTCCACAGGTAAGAAAAAACAAGGCCTTGAGCAGATCTGTGAGCCATTTGCAGTCAGAACCCTAAGCGCAGCTTGGCTGTGTGTTGGTGGAAGGCCGTACTGACTACGCATGAGACACGCAGCCCTGGTTGGGGGCTGCTACATGAGGGGCTGGTGGTTCCACTCCTGCCCCTTTCCTGGAAGATGAGCAGTCTCCTCCTGTTAAGAGTTACAGCTTCACACGCATGCTGGAGGTTCGCTCTGCACTGCAGTCAACGTAACATGTCCTGGTTCCCTCCTTACTCCTCAACAATCCTATGAGGTAGCTTCTTCTGCAACCTCCTTTCCCAGAGGTGCAGACTACGGCTCTGAGGGGCAGGCCAGTGTTCCTCTCTCAAGGATGCAGGGAGAGTCAAGGTTAGATCAGAGCAGGAAGAGTTATCCAAGGCTGGGCCAACCTGCCTACAGCTGCTGTTCAAGTTAGGCTGGAGGGCAGTCACCGGATGATGATGTCACAGGCGCTTTTGTGACATCCCTCATTGCCCCCAAGCATCCCCAAAGCATCCAGGCCTTGGGGGTACTCTAGAAAAGGTCTGTGAGATACACATTAACCTTGTAACAGGAGTGTACCTCCCAATACTTCCTAGGCTGCCTCAGCAAATTATTCCCTCCCTGTTCCCTTCTACACATGAATATCCCTGGCCACACCCAAGCCCAGAGCCTCTGAGTGAGTCTTTGAACATCCCCTCCTGGTACAGAGGGTTGTGTTGCCAGCCAGAGGCCACCAGAGCAGCAGGAGCTGTGGGCCAGGACTCGGGCCATGAAGTCCTCCCCTTCTGGTCTCTGGCTGTCCACAAAAATTCCTGCAATGTTTCCATGTAAACCCTGGTGAGGGGGCTGATGCCCCTGGGGCCTGGCAAAGCCAAGGTCAAAGTCCAGGCCGATGCCCAGGAGAGCTGGAACCAAGGTCACTGGTTCTAGGATTTCTGTTTCCCACTGGGGGTCCGGGTCCCCTGAGTCAGGTGTAGGCACCGGTTGAAGAATGTGGTGGGGGCTCCTGAGGGCTCCAAAGGCCATGCCTGCCTCTCAGCTCTGTCTGCACCCCAAACCTGGAGTCGTCTCTTCTGAAGCCGTCGCAAGTGTCCAGCTGACACTTTGATGGCCTTAGGACCCCCAGGACAACTGTGAGGAGAGAAAGGTGAGGATCCATGATAATCTGTAGGGACTCAGAGAAGAGGGGTCTGGGCCACCAGCAAAGCAGGGAGGAAGGGTGATGCCCAGGAGGGGCCAAATCAGCCCCAGTCTGAGGCCTGAATTCTATACTTGCTAGCTGTTTGTGGACCCTGGAAGTGACTGGGCCTCAGTTTCTCTGCATAAGAAATGGGGAAGGTCAATCTAGCCTTGGATCAGAATCAAATGTGATTCTATGTTATTGTTGTTGCTATGTGCCATTGAGTCATTTGCGACTCATAGCAACCCTGTGTACACCTGCTCTATCTTGAGCCCGCTTCATTGTCTCTGACACACCCCTACCCCCACAACCCTAATCACTGAGATAGATACTCCCTATGTTAGGAATAATAATATGTTAAGCCCACAGACAGGCCTTGGGTGAAGACATCATGCTTGGTTTCCTTGATTCTTGGATCTCTTTGGAGACTACAGACGGTTCACAGAAAGGAAAGGGAAGCTCTGAAAGGTCAGTTAACTCAGTCCTGGAGGGAAACGATAGAACTGAGCTGCCACCCATAAAGGCACAGTGGTGGTGATGACCATGAGCTCAGAGGACCTGGTCCCCTTTTCCATCCCTTCAGTTAGGCATATGAAGGGCATAAGAGGCCCCACCATCACTCACCCTTTGCCACAGTCCATGGGAGGCACCAGCTTGAAGCAGGTCCGGCCCAGCCGTTCCCAGAGCACGTTGCTGCCAGCAGGCGGACTGTGGAGCCTTAGGAAGCGCGCCAGGCTGAGGACAGAGGCAGGTTCAGGCCACAGTGGGCACAGCTTGGCCACAAGGACCCACCCCTTGGTCCCCGCAGGTCTCACCGGCGTGTGCAGTTGCAGTGGAAGAGGGGCTGGGGGGCGCTGTTGAGCAACTGGAACTTGGTCTCCTGGGGCCCGATCTGGTACTCACATTGGTCCAGGCGGCGGAAGCTGCGGCAGGTCCGGCGGGCACCTGGGGGAAGGTAGGGTGGTGAGGAGAGCCCAGTGGCTCAGGGCAACTCATCACTTTAACTGTCATTGCTCTCTCTCTCTCTCACACACACACACACACACACACACCCTCCGGGCTTTAAATGCTCCAGAGTGTGTGTGTGTGTGTGTGTGTATCAGGAGAGGCTTCCTGGAGGCAGTGGCTAAACTGGGATGATTGCTTGCAGAACACTGCAGGCAAAAGCCTAGAGGTTGCCCAAAGGAACCAGAGGAGGTTTGCAGACCTGGACTGTCTGCTCCAGGCCAGAGTCTGTGAGAACAGAGGGAAAGGGGAGCCGTGGTAGCATTTCAACATGGAGAGGTCATTGCAATGTGATGAGCTAGAAGTGGGGAGACCCAGGGAGGAATTTGGAGCAGGAGAGCAGGTGACACAAATCCAGCGACACCCCTCACATGGGGAGCCCGAGACTGTGGCTCCCTCCTTCCAGCAGAAAGGGGCTGCAGCGGCACTTGGTCCAGTGTCCCCAGGCCAACTTGTCATTCAGGTCACTAGTTATGCAGAGGTGACTGATTGCCCCCCAGTACAGGCAAGGAGGTTTATTCAGCTCAGCTGGGGAAGGGTGTGTGTGAGGAGACTGCAGGCCGCAGGCCCACCTGGAGGAGATCCCGAGCTCACCTTTCGATATCAGGCCTGCGTGGGCCCCCTGGAGGGCGGTGACCCGGACTTCGCTGAGGTGCTGGGGTTCTGCCAGCTGTGGTGACCACTTCCAGGGCCGATGCTTCTGTCGGGGCTCGGTGGGGGGTAGGCTGGGAGTTGGGGTAGCTTTCAGAGCAGAGCTCCAGGAGGCGTTGTAGAGGGTCCTGCGCTGGAGGCGGGCAAGGGACACTGAGCCATACTTCCGGCACCTGGGGGGATGGCAGTTGGTGGCAGTTAGTGACTAGAAGTGTCCTTGGGGTCATGGTAAGAGTCAGACCCTCCTCCTTCCCATGGGGCTATAGGGGGAAGCAGTAAAGAGAGGTCACATTCCCCAAAGAAAAATGGATGATTACCCTCTACCTGAGGAGCCTGGGCTGGGAGAGGGCTTCAGGGTAGTAGTCACTTACCCGCCCCACCAGTACCACGTCACACATGCCTCCTGCGGCTCCAGCACGAAGCAGGGAGTGTCCAGCACATTGAAGAAGGCCACGCCCAGAATGTCCGAGATAGAGTCATGCTGGTTCATCAGGCATTTCTGGAACCTTCCCAGAACAGAAATTCAGGTCCTTGGACCACAGAGGAGGGGGAGGGGAGCACCTGGCTTCTCCCCCTAATTCCATCCTGACCCCATCAGCCCTCCTATCAGGTCTGTCTTCCCAGCTGCTCACTAGGATCCAGACTGGCCCTCTGGAATTGCCACCTGCACCCTGGAACTGGGCTAAGTGCGTGGACCTCTGTGCGCCCACCCCTCACTCACTTGGCATCACAATCACAGTGGGAGATGGTGTGAAAGCGGTAGTTTCGGATGCCAAAGTTGTACTGGAAGGGCGAGATGGTCTGTGGACAGCGGTCGTGTTCTCGGCAGCAGAGATCAGGGCCCTTGAAGACCCCTGCAGGGAGAAGAAGGGGCACCTGCTCGGCCACGTCACACACACAGCTATGCCCACCTGGTATCAAGATGGCAGGACCTGGTTCTTGGCTCACACCTGGCACAGACGCCCAAGAGGCATGTCCCTCCAAGGGATGCTCAAAGCTGTGGGAAGGTGTAAATACTTGGGGGGGTCCTCCCACACACATGTTAAGGTCCACCTGGGAGAGGGGAACTGGAGTCTGCCCCCAGAGTTCTCAGGGTCAGGCCCAATAAAACGGCAAAGTTATGAATGTGTGTGTGCCCTGGAATGGCAGGGTGCAACCTTTCTCGATGTCACAACGAGGCATTGCCAGGATGCCAGCCTGCTCAACTCAAGTGCCAAGGCCTCTTCCCCCAGCCCTCTGCTCATAGGCAGCTGTGCCAAGAGCAGGGAGATAGCACCATTTACCGAACATCACCCACACACCCAGGCCGATGGCAGCCTTCAAGGCGGCGATGGCTCCATTCTAGAGGGGAGAAAACTGAAGTTTGGAGAAAAGTAGATTGCCCACGTGGCACGTACTGAGCTGGGATTTGAACCCAGGCCCCTGGGCACCCTGCAGAGGGAAGTATGGATGAAGACCCACAAAGCCTACTCTTAAGGACAAATAAGCAACTTAATTCATTGCTGTTGAATCAGAACCAACTCGTAATTGACCAGCAGGTTTTCAGAGGCTGTAAATGACATGGGAGGAGGTTGCCCATCTTTCTCTCTTGGAGCAGCTGGTGGATTCGAACTGCCTGCTTTGGGTTGACAGTGCAACACTCCCTACCCTTTAGACCAGAGCTCCATTGAGCCTGCACTCAATGAATGGGGTGGCTTTTGGGCTCATCCATTTCCACCTGCTCCCTCCCTCAGGATGGTTGTTAATGAGGACTCCCCAGATTTCTTCAGGGTCTTCCCCATCCATGACCTCATTTAAGCATCCTGTATGCAACTCACTGTCACCCGCATTTTCATTCACTCATGCATCAAGTCAACACAAACTCATAGCTGACCCTCCATTGGGTTTCCAAAGCTGTAAATCACATGGGATGAGATTGCCCATCTTGAGCCTGAGGAATCTCTGGTGGATTCGAACTGCCAGAGAAGTGTGGCCTCTGGGTTAGCAGTGCAGCTCCCTATGGACTATGCCACCACAGTGAACCCACTTTAGAGAGAAGGAAATTGAATTGAGCCTCAGGATGGTTAAGCCATTCCCTCAAGGACACACAGCTTGACAGAGTTGGGGACTAAAGATAAAGACAGTACTTCCTCCCTCCCTCTCCACCCTCAGACCCCACAACTCACCCAGCTCTGAGGAGTTCCCAGCTGAATCTCCAGGGCCACACCACAGAGTGCCGGGCATGGTCAAGCCTCTCTTAGACCGGAGGGGTCGCCCACCAGACGCTCCGTTCCACTGGGCTGCTCGCTTCTTCCTCGCCTCTGCCGAGCGTCCCCCAAATTCCCTGCAGAACTTCCGCTGAGTCTGAAGGATGTTCAGGACTCTCTGCAGCTCAGGCCCAGGGGTATGGATGAAGATGCCCTGGGTAGTCTCATTTGCACAGAGGTCGTGGAAGACTCTGATGAGCTTGGGATGATCCAGCCGGTTACACGCCTGCAGCCTCCCTCGCTCATCCCACCGGGTATGGAACAGGGCCAGTCCCAGGGCATCCTTGCCCAGGAAGCTCAGGAACCCCAGCGGACCACCAGGCACAGGTCCAGCCAAATGACAGGAGGTGCTGTCCCAGTGGAGAGCAGAGGGATCCCCCAGAGCCAGCCCCAGAATGCCCAGCATCCTCAGCACCACCCCCTGGACCCCCATCCTGCTCTAGCTCAGGCTCTAAGACAAAGCCCCCAGGAGGCCTGCCCTGCGGGCCCGGGAGGCAGCAGCTGGAGCGGAAGCGGTGCCCGGCAGGCTCCAATGAATGGAGCTGCAGGAGGAGGAGGAAGGCTGCTGGAGTGTGGGGTGATCTCGGCCTTGTAACTGAATCCACCGGCCGGGCAGCCCGCTGATTGGCCAAGGAGTGCACTCGCCTGGGCCCACGCCCCCACTCACCCTGCCCTTTTCCGCGCCATCCAGTCACCTGCTACCAGCCCCACCCAGATGGAGGACTGTGGTGGGGGGGAAGCTCTAGGCCCTGAAGGTGGGGACCTGGAAGCATTTGTATCTTTCTGGGGAGGGGTAGTGGGTTTAGGGGCTCAAAGAGACCTCCAGAACCGCTTTTTGTTGCCCTGCCCACTTTTTTGATGGCCACCACGCCCACTTTCAACAGGCTGGCTAGGGACCATCACCTGGCTGCCAGAGCCCGGAGAGAGCGATGAGGTGAGGACAAAGCACGGGTGGCCTCCGGCCCTTGGAACTTGGAGGCTTCTGGGAAAGGGAGCACTCACCCTCTAACCTCCCCAAGGTGTTTCCCCCTCCACCCTCAGCCATGAGTTTTGGTTCTTAGAAAGGCTTTGGGACAGAGTTTCCTGGGACTCCACACAGGCCTCCAACCTAGCCCAAGAGCAATGCTTTAGGGGAGATGCAGTGGGAACTGGATGGAGAACCGTGTGCGTAGGGCTGGCTCTCACCACTGGCTGGCTCTGTGGCCTCTCCATTCTTGGGCCTGCTGGGAGCCCCACAGACATCATGGGGCCGCAAGAGAGATGAGTGTTTCCAGCAGGGAGGGCTGTGCTGGCTCTTGTTTCTCCATGTGTCTCCAAAACAACGGATCACTCATCAAAGAAAGCTGGGGCAATTGTCCCATAGCGCGCAGAGGAAGAAATTCAGCGAGGTGAGGTGAAGAAATCCAGCTCACAGATCCAGCCGGGGCGGGGCTGGAGGCTGGGCGTGGAGTCCGTGGGAGACTTGGCTGGGGTATCATCACCGCTGGCCAGGACTGTGGCTTACCTGTGTGGCCAGCTGCCTGCTCCTTGGACATCCTCCATCTCCATGGAGTCTCTGTCTGGGGGCTAAACCCAGGGCAGAGGCGAAGGGAGCTCTCCCTTGGTCTGAACTAGAGGCTTCTCAGCTGCAAACAGGCTGGAGATGGCCAAATGGGTGCAGGTAGTTCAGAAGCCAAGCTCCTTTCCACAGTCGAGGAAAGAGGGTGTGGGTGGGTGGATGCAGGGCCAGCGGTGGCAACAATAGAGGGAGACCCAGATTCTCGAGGATAGGACATGATTGAGCAAAGGTGGCTCATCTGGAAAGAGTTCTAGGCTCTGGGAACTTTCCAGCATAAGAAACTGCCCCATTTTCCTGATTTCTGCCCTTCCCTGGCCATCAGTCTGGGCTCACAGCCTTCCACACCTGAGAGACCAAATCTGGCTGCATGGTCTTGGGCAAGTCTTCACTTCCCTGAGCCTCAGTTTCTTCATCTTTTCCCTGGGCACAGTGACAACATAGTGACTTCATGGTGGAAGTGGAGAGGGGAGGCTTGGATAGCCCTTGTCACTGAGTCAACCCTGAAGCCTCAGGCCACCAGGACAGGAAGCGATTGCTCAGGGGAGAGAGTAAGAGCCGAGGTTTCCGGGTTCAGCACTCATGCCCGCTACCTGGCTGTGTGACTTGCGATTAGTCCCTGCCCTTCTCTGTGCCTACTTTTCCTCTTCTGTGTCATGAGGAGCTTGATACTGACCTCTAAGTTCCTTTTCTGTGTGGGTCTGGAGGGAATAGGTCCAGACCTGCCCAGGCCTTGAGAGATTGTTCCCACAGACTGCACCCAGGCGGCCACATCACTCAGTCATTAGGACAGGGTACCTCTTAGAGGCAGGAGGCCACGGAGCAAGGGGATAGGACAGGGACGGGACAATCTAGGTCACGCAAATGGAAGGGCACTGGGGCTTTCCTCTGGATTCTTACCTGCCCAGAGAGGGATGAGGCAGGCACTGGTGGGCACCCTAAGGTGGGCCCCAGTGGAGTGTGAGAAATAGGAGCTGTGGGGAGAAGCTATTTCATTCTCTCTCTCTTCTGCATCTTTCTCTCTGCATCATTCTGGCTCCTTCTGCTTCTCTCGCACGCCTGTCTTGGTCTCTCTCTCTTTGACTCCAATATTACCCTTCCTTTCTGTCCCGTCCAGGGATCTCTCCCTCCCCTTCTCTTTCTCTCTGTCAGTTTCTTTCTCTCTTTTTACCTCTTGAGAGTTTTCTTGAACTGTTTCCTCTATTCCTCCTGACAGTTCTCCCTGCTTCCTCTCTAATTCAGGATCTTTTCTTCTGTCTCTCTCCACTTCCTCCTTCCCTCCTAGTCCTTATGTTCTCAGCCCTTCTGTCTCCTTTTCTGTGTATTTGGCCCTCTCCACTTGATATTCTCTCTCACACACACAAACACACATACTCTCACTTTTCTCTCTCCCTCTCACACATACACACACAGTCTCTCACACACAAATATACACTCACACACACACTGTCACACACACACACACACACATACATTCTCTCTCTCTCTCTCTCTCTCTCTCACACACACACACACACACAGTCATATACACTCCCACACACACTGTCTCTCCCACACACAGTCTCTCTCACACACACAGTCTCTAACATAAACACTCTCTCACACACATATACACTTTCACACACACTCTCACACACATTTTCCACATGCACACTTTCTCTCACACGCTCACACACACACATTTACACTCTCTTTCACACATACACACGTATATATACACTCACACACACTGTCTCTCACACACATTTTCTCTCACACACACAAACTCTCTCACACACACACTATGTCTCTCTCACACACACTGTCTCTCACACATATACACAGTCTCTCTCACACACACAGTCTCTTTCTTTCTCTCTCTCCACACACATACACCACACACATACATAGTCTCTCCCTCTCACATACCCACACACTGTGTCACACACACAGTCTCTCTCTCACCCACACACTCTCTCTCACACACATACACATATGCACTCTCTCGCACACACAGACATACTCTCTGTCTTCACACACACACACAGACATACACACACACAAACACACACTCTGTCTCTCTCTCACACACACAGGCATACTCTCTCTCTTCTCACACACACACACAGACATACACACACACTGTCTCTCACACACACACTCTCTCACAAACACACTGTCTCTCACACACATACACAAACACAGTCCCTTTCTCACACACTCTCTTTCACACACACAGTCTCTCTCACATGCACATACACATCCCCTCTCTCTCTCTCACACACACACACGGAGTCTCACACACAAGTCTCTTCCTCTCTCTTTCTCTCTCACACACAGTCTCTTTCTTTTTCTCTCTCTCGCTCTCACACACACACAGTATCTCATACACACTCTGTCTCTTTCTCATACACATACACTCACACATACACATACATACACACTCACACTCTCTCTCTCTCACATACACACACTGTAGCTCACACACACCCTGTCTCTTTCTCATACACATACACTCTCACACATACACATACACACACTCTCTCTCACACACACACACAGAGTCTCTCACACCCACACATTGTCTCCCTCACACACACAGTCCCTCTGTCACACACACAGTCTCTCTCACACATACACTCTCTCACATACATACACATACACACACACTGTCTCTTTCACACACACATGCACACACCATCTGTCTCTCACACACATACACATTTATAATCTCTCACACACACTTTCTCTCACACAATCACACTGTCTCTCACACACTCACACACACTCTTTCACATACAATATACACTCACAAACACACACACTCTCTCACAAACACACTATCTCTCACACACATATACATTCTCTCACATACATACATATACAGTATCTCTCACACAAACACACACTGTCTCTCTCTCTCCCTCTCTCTCTCTCTCTCTCTCTATCTCTCTCTCACACACACACACACACAGAGCCTCTCTCTCTTTCTCTCACAGACACACACACACAAAGCCCACACACCATCTCTCTCTCTTTGTGTTACTCCATCTCTGTCTCTTGTCTTTCCTCTGCTGTGTTCTCTCTGTGTGTGTCTGCATTTCTCCCTCACACCATCTTTCTTTTTGGCATCCTTGCTTTCTCTTGCTCCCTTCTCTACCTGTTCTCCCTAGCCCACTGGAGACTCAGGGCCCCAAACCACAGAGATGTCCTCCGTATGCCTCACCCATTTAAAAAAAATTTTTTTTACTTTATATTGGTTTGTATACAAAATCATATATGCCTTGCTCGCTTGGTTCACATTTTCCCAGCCATGACCTCATCCAATGTCACAATCCTACCTCTCCCTGGGGAAACAGGCAGGACAGGTCTCTCAGCCCCTTGTAGAGCTGAATGAGGCAGAGATGTGGAGTGACTGCCTGCCTGTGAGGCTCAGGGTGGAGTAGGGAGAAGCCAGGTCTGGTCTCTCAAAGACTTGGTACATGCAGCTTCCCCATCTTAGGGCCTTCCTCCCTGTGGGCCCAGAGGAGGGCCCCCCCCTCTGCCTGGAGGGCCTGCTGCCTCTCTCGGTGCCAGGAGAACTGGGCAGGCAGTGCCTAGCTACCAATCATTCATCAGCTCATTCAGAACAGTTGCTTAGTGTCTACAAGGTGCCAGGCGCAGGGTAAGGCCCTGGACTGAGCATACTCAGGAGAGGCAGAGAGACATCTTATCCCCTGCAGGACCGAGACCAGGCCTTAGTGCCAGATGTTTCATCCTCATGCTGTAAGGAGAGAAGAGGATTTATTATAATACAGGCCTGTGAGAGGCAAAGAGGGAGGCAGGAGAAATGGGCAGGGAAATTGTCTGTTCTTTCTCTTGCTCCCTCATTGCCATCAAGGCAGAAGTAACTCATAGCT